TTCTTTCATTCTGCCCGTCTGCCCGCATTTTGCATATGGAAGTCATCTGGCTGCTGATTTGAGAGGCAGATGGCTCTATCTGAGGGTGGCAAGCTCATTGAGGATCAACATGAAGCAAACACAAGCTCTTCCTCCAAGAAGGATGAATGACTGTGGGGCTCAGGAAGAAAAGAAGGAAGGGGCTGTGGCTGCTAACTTGCCCCGTCTTCTACCCAAAGCAAAGCTCAGGGAACCAAGATTCAGGGTGGATCCAGGAAGTACTTCCTGATTGATTGATTGATTGATTGATTTATACCCTGCCTTTTTCCTACAAAGGGCTCAAGGCAGCTTACATCATCTCTCTTCCTCCATCTTATCCCCACAACAACAACCTGTGAGGTAGGTTGGGCTGAGAGTCTGTGACTGGCCCAAAGTCACCCAGTTGGCTCCATGGCTGAGCGGGGACTAGAACCCAGATCATCTGAGTCCCAGTCCCATGCTCTTAACCACTACACCACACTGGCTCTCACTTCCTGACGGTTAGGTCCCCTAGGATATGGAATGGGCTTCCACGAGATAGAGGGCCCTGACTCCTATCAGCTGCCTCCTCTGAGCACAGCTAAAACAGCCACAAAAACACTCCAGGTTCCTTTTTCAAAGTTATTTCTGTTCACTTACAAACGCACAGTCCTGCTTGTGTGTAAATTATGCAACAGAATGTGGGCCTGCAGGAGGCCAGTTTACCCCAACGTGCAGGATGAAGTGTTTCCTAAAGAGGTTTAAAAAAAAATCTCCAGTTACTTTTTTTTAAACCTTATCAATGACTTTGTATATTTTAGGGATGGGGAACCTTTTTCCCCTGGGATGGTGGGGACACTGTGGCAGTGTGCAGGGGCCAGAGCACAAAGTAGGTGAGAGCAAAGCATACATACGATCCCTTTCCATGGGGCACTTATGGACAAGGCCTTATTGTGGGGCTGCACTTTCAGCCATGCTGCAGACATCCTGCAAGGTTTTCCTGACATCTGCTCTCTGAGTGTACTTACTTGCAAAGCATACACTCAAGCAGCTCCTCACATGTTGGGGCTCCCTGTGTCTGGGGAACCTGTGCAACTAGGCTTGGTATCCTATATGCAAGTAGCTTTTTGTGCACGGCATCCCCATTGTGAACCACTTCACTGAACATGCAGATGTTCGGCACATGACAATGATGCTAAAAGCACAGCCCCTTCTTTGCTTCCAAATAGTGAGGCTTTCCACATGAGTAATGTGTGAACAGGGTTATATGAGCAGGTATACAGCAACGATTTCTGTACCCCAATTTCTCTCTCAGACTGCTTTCTGCCTGTCTCTGCTTCAAGGTTGGCCATTCTCCTGATAGCAGTGCAACACAGATCTGTTCTAGCTGTAGTAATCCCCCCTTTCTTCCGACTGCTCTGAGAGAATGTGGCTGCTGGACACAACAGGAGCACTTGCTTCCACGACTGGAGGGGGTCACTAGTGCGGGGGCGGGATTCATTACCTAGCTGAGGTTCTGATAAAAACAGGACTGAGGGCAGGGTCTGGATTGTGTTCCAGAGATTCCTCTATGTGTTTTGAATCAGATGCTTTTATTATGCATCTTGAATTGTTTTGTGTTTATCATTTTTCATTGTAAGGGCTTGCCTTAAAAGGCAAGGCAGGAATAGATTAAGTTTGAATTCCTCTTCAGTTTAGATTAATAGTGTGTGAAGTTGAGCATGTTTCTCCCTTCTCATGGTCTCTAAAATAATTTCGAGTGCTATAAGGTTTAAGTACCTTTTGGTGTGGTATCTTTACAGATTAAAGATTGGTGCCCAATTTCTGCCACTGTATCATCGTTTGGCAAGTCTTTTAAGGTTTTAGGATGAACACTGTGATCTCAACTGGCTTACATGTATCCCCCCCCCCCCCCGATCATTTTATGTATACATTTTCTGCAAGGAAGTCCAAATGCTGCCCTGAAGTTTTGTTTTGTGGAAAAAGTTGAGACTTGAAAGCTGAAATTGCTGATTGACTTGTCTCTCCCTTTTTCTCTTCCCATTCTGTTTAAAAGTCGAGAACCACTTCAAAAGCTGTGATGAGTTGGTGCCAGACGCCACACAGTTATTGTTAGAGGAATCTGAAATATAATTGAAAACAAACGTTTGTTCAGCTAAACCAATCAGCCAGGCTTTTCCTCTCATTTCACTCTCCTTTCCCCTTCTCAAAAAGGAGATACTTTCTGAAATTGCTTTCACCCAGATTTCATTGTCTATACACTCATCATCATGATAGATGAATCATTTACAAATGCGATTACATCTGGAAACCATTTGCAAAGTTAGAAATCTTGTATTTTAAAGAATCTTTTAAAAGCCTTTCTTTTGCTCTCTTACTCTCTGTCAGGCATATTCTCAGATTTTGTTTGTGGTAGCAAAGCATCAAATTGAAACTGCTATAACAATTTGAGTCCAGACACTGAGAGCCTCAAATCAGCAGTTTCTTGAACTGGCTCTGCCGTTTTTCAAATGATATAATATATCTCATATCTGACAAATCAGTAAAAAAGTCATATCTTACCCTGCTATATTTTTAATTTGTCTTCCAGTTTTGTAGTTTCCAAGGTAGCTTGCAAATTAAATTAAAATGGTACAATAAAAACTACATGACATTTAAAAGAGCAGAACAAATAAATCAGTAGTACTGAAAACAACAATTTCAGATATTAAACATTTTTAAAGCCTTTGTAAATATAAAGGTCCCTGGGGAGTAAAACCTTTTAAATTTGATGCCAGGTAAGCCTCTGTGAGATAAACATTCCAAACACCTTTTCCTTGGTTGTTACAGGTAGGGATGGGGAGCTTAGTTCATATTTTACTGCAAATGTACCTAATTGTTTATTTTCAATAGACAACTAAAAATCACTTAGCCTTTGATAGTTGTGCAGTTTTGAATGTTGCAGTGCAGTCCTGTCAAAAATGTATACAAAAATGTGTAAATTGGGGAAAATGCACACAAAAAGATATTAGTGAAAACATTGCGTAGCATATTGCAGAAAATTGTTGCAAACAACATGAGTATTCGCCAATATACAAAAATGCATGTGTTGGGAGAAATGTACCCAGACATGCATGTGTAGTTTCAAAATAAAAAGTGCAATATGTTGACCAACTGTGTTTTGGCATCTGTCATGTTTATGGAAATGGTTTTCAAATGTGATCACTCATGTAATAATATGCAAATTGGATGTGGCCCTCCAGTCATTCAGTTTTGGCCTTAGCTATCCAGCTTTCTGTCTGTTCTTGCTATTTGTACTTGCTGTAATACTTAATGGTTCATCTATGATTGATTTGAGCAAAGAGTGAGTCTATTGTCCATGTTTGGAGTGAAATCTTGTAAATCACTTATAAATATAAAGCATACTTTCTGGTTTTAGGCACTGTTATTCTTCTGACCCTGTGCTGCACGTGCATGTTTGGCTAGCTGATCTAACGTAATCTCTCCATTTGTGTCTCCAGATGTTTAACCGATCATGGTGTTTTTCAGAGAGATGGAAAATGTTCATAATGTGTATGCACTTGCAAGGTCAGCAAGAAGCCCCAAGTGCTGAAGCTGGGGGAAGCATGGACTGAAGCTTCGTATATTTTTAAAGCAAGATTGGTCTAAAAGTAGAATATCATGGATTACAAGGTCTAATCTGTTCAGGACAAAATGATGGGAATCGTAACGTATTTTCTTAACTCCGATGTCCCAGACAAGCTTGTCCCACAGAGCCTCATTAACTCAAAAGCAGGAGGAGCAGGTGCGGGCAGGAGGTGTCCTGCAAGATGGGACATCCTGGCCAGATGTGGATTCGGAGGGATTTTATGGATACGATACACATTCAGCCCTTCAAAGCACCCTGGAATTTGCATATTATAGGGAAGGTCATTGTCAATAAACCATAGTTGTAAGGAATGCTTTGAAGGTGGAAAGTGCTGAGAGATCTGTGAAAGAGGATGGGGAGCTGTGTACTGGCATGCGAATCTGTGCAAAAGGCTTAAGTTCTCCAGCCTATTTAAGCCACCCACAGAAGGCTGGCATCTGCGTTGACCTCTTGATACCATAGAAAAGGTGAGGTAGGCTAATCCTTGGAAAACCAGACAAAGGCACTTGTGCTTTGGAGCCTTCCCTGCTAAGATACAAATCGAAACAGGACTTCTACAAAGTTGGAATTGTTAAAGCTGGTGCTAAATTGAAGTCTAGGAGGCCTTCGCTGTTTTTCCTTCCTTACTCCAAGGCTCCTTGGAGATCAGAAAGGAAGTTTTTCAGCTGGAGAATGAAGGCTGCTTTCAATAAAGTGAGAATGATACCATGAGGCTCATTCAAACGGAGGCTACAGTTAACTAAAAGTTAAGCAGGGAAACGTTGAAAATGTGTGATCTTTCACAATGCTGGCAATGTGAACTGTGGCTAGGAAGACTTGTGGCCTTATGAATGCTATTGTTTCTTGGTCGCCCATTCTTGGTTCTTGAGTAGATTGCTGACAATGTGTCAAGTGCTATTCAGCAGCATTATATATATGCTAATATTGGGTGTTGATGATGGTGACAGTTTATAACTACTTCCAGTGTATTTTTGAAAAATATTTAAATATTTTCTTGTACTGGACTTTTAATCAACTGATTTCCCAAGCCATACTTAAGTTCTGCATATCTTGACACTTCATGCATATTCAGTCCCCCCCCCTCCTTCTAGCTGCTATGTGGAAAATAATAAAACATTTACCGCAGCCTTACTTAATCTTAACGGACAGCAATAAGCATGAAGCAACTCTGTGTTTGTTGCTGAAAAATATATAACAGGGTCAGCCTTTGAAAAATATTGCATGCTGTTCATAGGACATGAGGTAGGAAATGGCTTGGGCTGGTGGGCGAGTGTTTCATAGCTTGTCCCTTCACGTGACTAAACTGAACAAGGGATCCACTATTGTTTCTGCAGCCTCTTACACATTCAGCTGTGAACCCATTAAGCAGTGTGACTGTGCCACAGCACTGTGTGAGCACAAGCCATTTTAAAAACAGGAAGGACTTGCTATAAAAGTGGGCAGACCTGCATAAGGCATGGGGCATAACTGCAGCCAGTGCTCCGTTGATTGCTGTTGCAGAAAACTCTGGTTGGGGTAGGGACTGAAGGTCCAGTTGGACTGAATGCCGGGTGAAATTTTTGCGAGGGTTGGTTGAAACGGCATGTGCAAGCGGCTACAGTTTTATGGCTGTTCCTAGTAATAAAACTGGAAAAAGTGTTCTTTGTCTCACACCAAAGAACTCCACCAGTGGGGATAGAGTGTTAAAAAACACACAACCACCCTGTCTAGAGCCATGGAACAAAGCCTTTAATATACTGATTGCGTATTAATGAACAGCCAAGCAGAGACGATGTTTGCCAAGAACCAGCAAATGGGAGAGCCAACAATATCAGTGTTGTGAACTTTGCACTCTGCAAAGTGTGAAGTGATGTTGGTGAAAGGAGTTTATTGCACAAGTGGAATGACACAGTCCTCTTTGATGACTGGGCTTCTTCCCAGTAAGGGAAAGTGAAACAAATCTCCCGGGGCTCTAACACAACTTTCCCCCCTCTGTTCCCTAACTCCATCTTGACCCAGTTGCAATTTATTGTATACCTGTGTACAAATCCTGTCAGTGCTACAGTTGAGTATAGAAACCCATAATATCTCTTTAAAGTATACAGGTCTATACCTGGTACATCTGGTTTGGATCACCTTGAAGTATTTTTATTATGCTGCTGTAATATGCAGACAGGAATCTTTTACGTTTTTAGAGGCTTGTCTAGAAATATCAGGTAGACCAGAATCAGCATGAAGTATCTACAAAATAGCTTAATAAAAGTCCATTTATGTAATACAGCTTCAATGTCTGTTATCCAGTATGGACTTCACTTTTTTCCTTAATATGTGAACTTTAATTTCTCCATTCTGGACTACTGGGTAACACGGGACATGTTTTAACAATTTTTCTTCTTAATCTCTCAAGGAGAAATGTGTTTTTTTCCTTTAAAAAAAAAAACCTTCATAGGTGAATCCACCTTCGCCTCCCATAAAGACTTGCATTTAAGAGTCTTTACTTCTTCAGCGTATGAGTAATCTTTTTATTTAAACACTATTTTAACTGTTAATGGTTTATTTGTTGATTTTAAATTGACCAGGCTGTGTCCACTATTCTATTTTATGTATTTTATTTATTTGATGATTTTTTTGTATATTATGCAGGATTTTATGATTGTAAGCCGCCCCAAGCTTATGCGAAGGGGCGGCATATAAGTTGTTTAAATAAAATAAAATAATAATAATAATCTGTGCTGTAAAGATCTGTGCACTCTGGAGTTGCTTATAGGACTGGGATTTGTTCGTGCCTGATATCCCTTTGTCAGTCATTTGGAATTTACTCTTGTACGAAAGGTGCAATTGATTCTTACATCCGCAGTACATGCCTGCGGAAAGTAGAATGCCTGAATTCACTTACCACAGCTTAATGCTAATCACGACAGCAGTGTGGTACATTCTGGATAAGGTGGTATTAGCAGTTCATAAATTTAGGTCCGGGTCTTACTCATTTTTAGACAGGAAAAAGATCCATCAACTTCCAGCATGCATGGGAAATGCTAGGAATTGTAGGACATTTTTTCTGCCTATGCATGCATAGGATTGTACCCTAAATTGCAACCACTGTTCTGATGGAATGTTCGTCTTATAACAGATTTTATCCTGATATAAGGAAGTATAGATAGAAACTCTGTCGGTACTCTATGTATGGAATTTGCTGCCACAGGAAGTGATGATGGCTGCCAGTGTGGTTGGCTTTAAAAGGGGATTGGACAGATTCAGGAGGGAGGGAGCTATCAGTGGCTACCGGCCTTGCTAGCTGTGTGCTCCCTCCTTCACCAGAGGTGGCATGCTTGCACACACCAACTGCTGAGGAGCTTGGGCAGGAAGAGGTCTTGCGCCCATCCTGCTTTGAAGGATCCTGTGGGAGCTTGTTTGCTAATGTGTGTACGTCCTGTGTGACTAGATGGACCTTTGGTCTAATCCAGTATGGCTTTCCTTATGTTCTGATGTTATAAACCATCCTTTACTGTGTTGCCACTAGCCTAGTAATTGCAGATATTAGATCTCCATATGGGAGCTAGTTTTCTCTTGGATTCTTAGGAACCTTCTGGGTGGATTTGCTGTGAAGTTTTGAAAGGAGTTTATAATGATTAGGGAGAAGTTTGTGTTTCTGATACACAGATCTCCCTATGCTGCTCAGGTATCATGATACCTGTTTCTCTATTCCTACCAGCATCTAGTAAGTCCTATTCCTTCCTTGCTAATGTAGTCTTTTTGCCCCCTCCCACTCTGAAAAATCCCCTACCTTATTGCAAAGGTCAGTATTTAATGTTTAAGATGAAGCAGTTTCTCTGAAATTTTTAATTGCTTTGTGTATACCGACATGTAAAGTTGTAGAGCTTGAGATCTGGAGTTGCAGAGTTTAAAGTTATAGGCAAAGATGCCACACATAGCAGAACTTAATTATTTTAGTGCAGTGGTTGAGCTGAAGTACAGTAGAGGGTTAATTGAACACTGTGGCCAATTCACGCATTCTGCAGAGGTAAACCTAACTTTGTGCCAAAGTGTACATCCAGTAGGGACTTGTGGCTACTCCAGGCTTCCCGATGAGTGTGTCTCTCTGATGAATATGTTTGTCACCTTCACACTTTATATCTTAGGTGAATGTACCTGTGTGCAAAATGGCCCTGAGGGGAAAACAAATTCAATTAATAGCTGTTTAACCTGGCACACTGTTCAGCTAATAATGCTACTAATCCTGATGGCCCTGTGCTGTTTCCAGGCTCAGAAACAGTTCGTCCGTGTACAACATTTGCTGAGGAGCATGGATGGAAGGGCGCTGTTGTAGCATATCCTGCTTGTGGGCTTCACATGGGCAGCTGGCTGGTTGCTCTGTAAATGCTGAGCAGAATATTTGAACTAGGTGGACCTCAGCCTGATCCAGCATGGCTCTTGCTACGTTGTTAATGCTCTGATGATATCCTTAGTCCTTGCAATTTGGAATTAATAAGGCAGCTGTGGCTTAGGGAGAAAGGGGGCAAATGGCCTGACGACCTTGCATCCATCCATCTATCCAGGAGCCTTTCAGCTTAAGTGAGCGGTACTTGCCTTCCCTTCATGGCCACGCTCTTCCAGCATCTCCAGTCTCCCCCTCCCTGCCACCTCTGCCCTCGGGGGCAGCCTGCTGTTGCTGTTGTGGCAGCACCAGCTATAAATTAGACTGCTGCGTGTTCTCAGGCCTGTCTAGCTGTACTGGGGTAATTGCTCTGGACAGCTTTACAGTAGGGAGGTGTGAAAGGCCTGCTGTCTGTCTGAGATGCGCAGACGCAAGAAGGGAGGATGAGGGAGTAGGGGAACGATGACAGATTCGTGACAGTTGAGATACAAGTGTGGGAATGAGATAATGAATAGGAACGGGAAACCTGCTTGTTTCTGCCCTGTGACATAAAGGCATGGAGAGCTCTGAGGTGTTGCTGTGGCTTTTCAGGCTTGCTTTGAAATCCATCCTGGCCCATTATGTGCCAGCCAGAAACGGTACGGGACCCCGATCATGCCCTTCAGAAGGAAGGCAGAGTGCAGGGAAGAAAAGGGATGTTGATAACGTGTCCCCTGAAGGGCAGGAGGCATCTGTTGTATTGCCTGTGGCTAACACAGGAACTGCTGGCACAGCTTCCTGCAACTCTGCGTCTTCCAGATATTCTGGACTTGAGCTCCCACCAGCTTCAGCCAGCATGCCTGGAGGTTGTGCAATTCTGGGAGATGTAGCCCCAAACATTTGGAGGGCACAAGGTTGGGGAATATCGAGGTAACAGGCTACCTTGTATGCAGAGATAGAAGGTTGGAGGCCATGCATATATGCTCCTATTCTCTAACTATTCAGAGTGTAAATCATATATGCTAGCTGGCCTGTTGAAAAATGCCCCTGGTTTCAGTTTTAAAGGCTCTCCCACTAGCAAAAACATTGGCTCAGAAATCAGGATTTTAACACAAACCAGAGGAAGTACTGTTGTATAGCATCGCTTCTCAGGGCTTGATGATATATAGCAATTGGGTTTGTAACAAGTGCATATTTTAAACTTGCATTTAACAGTCAAAACATATTCGGTGTATAAGGCAGAATGGTGCTCTTTGATTGTCAGCACTGGGAACTCCAAAAGTTCCCTTTCCCCTTGGCACAGATGTGCCGTGCAAGACCTGCTACGTTGGTTCAGATTTCGCAGGGACCATTTTAATAGTAAGGAGGAAGGCGTGGAGGCTGAATCCCATGTCTTAGGCTGGGGTAGGCAGCCTGGGCCCTCCAGATGTTTTGTACTGCAGTTCCTCTAATCCCTGACCGTTGGCCATGTGGGCTGGGGCTAGTGCTTTTATCTTTGCACTTTATTTTAATATACTTTTTTATTTAAAAGTTTTGTACTAAAAATGCTTCAATTGTGTTCACTACCCTTTGAGTTGATCAAGATAGGTGGCATATAAATAAACAACTGTTTATTAAATAATTGTTAGTGCGCTGTAATTTTCAACAAAGTCTACAAGGAACATGAACACTCTCATTGAAAATTATTTCTCAGCTTCATGGAAATTTAACAAATAGAGAATGCCCTTGTGACAGGTAAACGACTGATACTACAGAATTGGAAGGACAAACACTCGTAGTGTAATATTTTTGAACCCTGTGTGTAATTGCTAAAAAATGTTGTATGCATTTCAAATGGTTTACATTTTTTTTAAAAAAAATGGGTGCCTGTGGGCATCACATTAAAGACCCCATTGGCATTGGAGATGCCTGTTGTATTACAGCAACCATGGGCACTAGTTTGGTAATCCCTGTGCCAGGATTAAACCATCATACTAAGGCCTAACAGAACAGAAGTAGGAACAGCAAAATGCCCCTTGCAAAAGATTAAAGTTGTTCCAGCCACAAGTGTTACAGGAGACCCCATCCTGATGGTCTTTCGGCACCTTCTGGAGCACTTTGTGCAGCTGTAGTCAGTTGCAGAGCAGGTGGCCATGAGCCAGGCAGAGGAACAGACACCAGGACTTGCAGGCCTCATAGCAGGATGGTCTCCAGGCACCTTTTAGCAGCTTTTGTAGAATCAGTTTAGGGCCCCACCCTTCCAGGCCAGATGGAGATGAGTCACACAGAGTCAGTTATTCTGCCAGTGGAAGATTTTCATTCAACTTGTAGTTCTGCTCACATGTTATATGGATAACATCTTATGAGCAGAATCAGATGCAGCATTTTCAAGGGGAGTCTGTATCTGCGTTTAAAAAAAGTATGTGTCTCTACCTACAAATGCTGTAAGAATGAAATCCCTGCTTCTGGTTAACAATAGAAATGTATGTCATGTGATTTGTCTCTGAATGCAGCTTGTGAAGAATGTTTCTACCAGTCCCTTTGGAGGGGTGTGGTTTGTATCAGAGAGGACATAGCAGGGGAAGAATGGTTTCTGGAATGGCGGTGCATTTATTCTTGATGAAGAAATGTGGTCTTCTCGAGTCCAAGGAGGTAGCGGAAGACCATTAAATTGGAAGAGCCTTTGCAGTTCCATTTCTTTGACGTTAAAGCAACTTCAGCCTTGTCAAGGAGGTTAAGTTGTGTTTTCTGTGTCATTTTAACTGTGGTACCAACTAGGAGTTTGTTGTGGTGAGCCATGGAGTTTATGGCACCTAATGTGTGAAGTTGTTTTGTATGTATTGTTTGAGAGCCAAGTTGCTGTTGTGTAGGTTTGCTTAATGAGTTGGTTGCATCAGTTTTGTCACCAAGGCGCTTATGTTTTCCTTGTGGATATTAATCTGGGAAGACTTTGACATTAAGCGCTCTCTTTCCTTTGGTGTAATAGCACAGTTCTCTAGAGAACCGTGTTCTTGGATTACATGTAATGGTTTTTTAATTATTTTTAGTTTGGAGAACATGTTTGCAGGGTAGAATTCTGGACTCTACCATTGGCAGCAGGGAATTGGAGGGAAGCAGCATTTTAAAATTGTTTCTTTTAAATTAAATTTAACCAATTCCTGAATTTAGTACTCAAGTAGTCGGGCAGAGAAAGAGAAAAGCTTTTGGATAGTTTTCCCCTTGATGTGCTTTTACATGACCAGTGGGGTCCTCAAATGTTGGCATGGCTTACGCTCTTATTTGTGGTTGCCACCAGTTCCCTCTCGCATGCATATGGGGTTTGGGAGGCAAGCAGGGTGCTTGCTTATTTGTATGGGATGTGGAGAAGGAGGTTGAAAAGGATATTGAATAAATGAGGTATTGATGAAAGAATAGGTTATTATAGCAGTAGCTTGCTCATCTCCAAGAGTCTCAAATGTTCTTTCAGACAGTTTGAAAACGGTAGTGGTAACATGCCAGATTTCTGAGTTGCTCAGAACTCTTCTTTCCTGCTTGAGGAAGCTCACATGTTTACTCTTCAACTTACATTACAATCTAGACTATTTGAAATCCTGTTTATTTAAAAATTGGCATACCAGATGGGCTTGTAGGCATAGCTGCACTGTGTAGCTTTATTCTGAACTGATGTGAACACGCCGTTTCACTCTGTGTCATTCTGGAGGCTCTACATGAATGGAGTGGCTCAAACAATCTGACATTTATCATGTAAGAGCTTGTATGTTTGCCCTTCGTCACTAATACATACCTGATGCCCTGGCTCCACTAGTATGTCTCACCTGCATTTGCGATACAACATGTTTGCAAAGGCCTCTACAAACAAATCCTGACAGGAATTCCCAAATTATTCTCCCACACAGTGTTAAAGTTCTGTGTCTTGGCTATCTCCCATGAAAGCTGGGGTCTAATGTCCTGTGGATTTTTATTTTAAACTTTCCATTCCTGATCAGATATCAGAGAACAGCTGCATTGAGAAACAATCTGTTCACTAATTTATGCTTGTGATATATACACCCACACACAGGTGTCTAGGTCCCTCAAGGTATATCTGAATATCTGTATTGCTATATATCAGGCTTGACATTTTTAAAATAAATGGATGACTCAGTGTAGAATGGCTTGGGAAGAAGGGAAGCCCTTTGCATTCCATTTTAAGTTTGCAAGAGAAATTTAGTTCTGATCCTGCAAAGTGGTTCCTGTTTTAATTTGATTTATTTCATGCCAGTATGTTGCCAGTTTTTTTGACAGGGCTTTTAAAGAAGTAAAAATTAAAATCCTCTATGAATTAATTTGGGCTAAACAAAATTTTTAGGGATTAGTAGCAGGGGAAATTGTTATGTGGGACTGTTTCTTATATTTCACATATGCAGTTTTGCCATTTTGTTCTGCAAACTTGCTCGCTTCTGTTTTTTAATTTCTTCTCATGTTCATTTTCAGTGGTTTGTGTAGCTAATCTGTGCCGTCCTTCTTTTGATGATATGAAGAACTACTACTCTTAAAGAAGTAGAGGGAAAAATTATTCCACAGAATAATTGGAAGACTATCACAGGGCATGTGAAATTATATTATTGCAGTGAACTGTTTTTTAAAGTATATTTCACCTGTTTGCTGGATGTGAGGTGCTGAGTTGCATGGAGTTCTTCTGAGCAAGTTATCCATTCAATTAATATATGAAGAATACTTTCAGAAAGAAACTATAGAGACTTAAGTAATGCAAGAAACTGGTGGATCCATAAAACATGATAACCCACACTGAAAGATAAATAAGAGTTGGTTTCTGCTGAATCATGAATTCTTTGTTGAAACATGGCTTATTGAGTTGTTTGAACCCAGTCAGAATAACAAACCATAGTGGGTTAACTACAGCAAGCTTTGAAGAGAATTCATGGTTTGTTGTTGGGTTGTGCACTGTGATTTGCTCATGGTTAACAAGCCATGGCTTGTTAGCATGGCTGGGTTCAGACAACACACACATTTTTTTTTTTTTAACAACAAACAGTATTCAACCTATACATAACCCTTGAATGTGAGCTATAATGTTGTCTGAACCTAGTCACTGTGTGAATGCATTACAAATAGGCCCATGCTGATAAAAAATCTCCTTTGGGGATAAAGGACATGGAAGTGTATGCACTTCTGAAAATACAACTACTGGAAGAACAGTATAATTCCAGTACTATTTTGAACCCCCAAAGGTAAAAAAACCAGATAATTCAAAAGGAATTAGTACAGGCATTGAGGTTTAAAAAAACAACAACAATGTTACACTATCTCTTCATGAAGCATTCAGTTTCTAGCATTTTCTAGCATCTAGGCTTTTTAGGGGGAGGGGAGATGAAACAATCAAGATTCCTTACCATTGCCAGTTTTCAGGATCCATTAAATTGCCTGGTGCTTTATTAGTAATAAAATCCTACCATGACTGAGACTAAATTATTATTGGCCATTGATTTCTTACAAGGAGACAAGGCGTATGGCTGTAGAAACTGTATACCTCCATTTAAACTAGCTAATTTTAGGTTTGTTTTGTTTGTTTAAAACAAAAACAGTAGAAATGTTTGGCCCTAAAATTGTTGTTCTTAATCTCAACTCCTCTCCCTCTGTGCTTTAAGTAAGAGGGGGAAGGGGGGGGGGAACAAGACTGCACGCACTCTGTGTGTGTGTGTGTGTGTGTGTGTGTGTGTGTGTAATATTAAAAATTAGAGCTTTATATCATCCTTTCCCACCCAGTTGTCCTCCACTTGCATATCATTGCCAACTAACATGTCCAATGGCCATGTTGGCTGGGGATGATGGGAATTCAAGTCCAATAGATCTGGGAAGGCTACCTTAATACCTTGCATTTATTATGCAATTTTCACACCTTGAAAAACATGAATCATGTGTGGTGCCACAAAGATCTCAAGTGGCACAATAGCCAGAAGTTTGTGGGATCCTTAGACAGGAAGAGAAAGGACTCTGCAGGGTGTGCCATGACCATCATATTCTCCAGGTGTTTCTCCAGGCGCTCAGAAACCACCAGTAACACTTTTCTTTGGCCAAGATTACATCCTGCTTGGCTTGAGAAAATCTTGCGAAACCCTCCTCACATCAGATCTCATGACCGTCTGGATGAAACTGCAGTGAGGAACAAAGTGACCTGAGAGTGCCTTTTCAGTTGTCATCTAGTATTTGTCATGGCCTCCTCGGAGATGCCTCTTTTGGGCCCAGAATAAATAAATAAATATATATATAATTTCTCCCGGGCCTTTAATTTTTCTAGGTATTTCCAGAGTTTTAGTTCCAGTATTGTTATATTATGTTTCAGTATTTAGTCTACTGTTTAAAATGTTTTGAATGCAATTTACAAATTTTACTTAATTATTGCTTTTACCCGTCGTTAGCCACTG